AAATAGAACTCTGGGTGTGACGCGGCTGGTTATGATCTCGGATCAACTACCAATTGATTAAATAAAAGCTACGCTTGAGGAAAGCAAATTGCTGTCTGCTTTCTTACTAATATACAGGGTGGCAGGGTGTCCCAAAAGTATGTATACAATGTTTGATCATTGATATCGGTACTTTTCCGTTATCCGGACCCATTTTTTTCAAAGAAGGATATCGCTTCTATCCTTGTACCATATTCTGTCCCACCTTCACGGATAGGAGTGTCAACCTTCTGCCACGTGTCAAAAAAATTTCACATGTCATCTACATGTTTAACAGGTTTTACCAAGAGTTTGTTTACCCTAGCTAGCGATGTAAGTTCAATCTGTTTTTTAGTTAATTTTGAGCTCATTTCGATCAAACAGTTTTGAAGTAAACATTGTCATAATAATAACGACACACCATCATCGATGAACAGATTGGACTTGCTCAAGATAGAAAAGTGTGCTAGGATTCCGTTATTCAAGATGCGAAACCAGCAGCAGCCAGGTACTTCAGGCTATCATTTATAGTTTTTTCGGCTAAATTCGCATGGAGAAAAGGTTTGAAGAGAAGTACGCATTTGAATCGCTGTTGAAAGCAAGCAAGATGTTCTAGAATAAGTTCATGATTGTTTTGTGCTTATGTAAAACAGTTGAACAGCTTTAGAATGATCACAAATTCTCTTTTACCTCACCGGAAATAATTTCGAACAAAAACATGTCAAAATTGACCAAAACGTGTCAATTTTTTCGTGACACGTGGCAAGGAGGCAGTCCTCGCAGCATCTATGAAAAATTATTTTTAGACTAAAGAACATATAATATGAGAGCCTTTTGAAAAAATGGGTCCGGATAACGGAAAAGTACCTTTGTATACACTGTTTGATCATTGATATCTTCCTTCTCTAGAAGTCTTTTGCATGCCTTTGAATACATTTTGTAGAGTAGCTTCAAGTTAGATTTATAGTATGGAGCAAATCAACTATCTTCACTCATTATTAAAGGGTTACGGAAGGAACTTCAAGAAGGGTTTTGAGCCACTGAGGGTCCTATTCCGCCTCAATAAGTAAACCAAACAATCTGCAAACCCTTACACTAGGCCAATTAGAGTCGCTACAACCAAATATGAACTTTGCATGACCGCGATGCTTCCTTCATAACTTATGCCCCGTAAACCGTAATCGCTGTTTTTACTATGCTCCCTAAAATTTCAGTCATATCCTTTAAAAAGCTTTATAAACTCCTAAAAAGTTGAGTAACGAAATCAGCGCACGTAAAATCCTTGGTACACACTTTTCAGAATTTTTGGAAACTATTATTGAAACACGGCTAATCCACAATGATGCGGTAAGCCAAAAGTTCCTACCATAATCTTAAAGTATCGAAGAGCGGTGGGTGGTTTGCTGCACATTATAAATCTAAGTTGAAGCCAGACAAAGTTTTACCTTAAGGTAGGTAAAAGACTCCTTGGGAAGAGAGATATTAACGATCAAACAATGTATACATACTTTTGGGACACCCTGTACTTTCGCTCATTTGAGAGTCTGAGATTGCGTCAGAATCAGGGCGATCATTTTTGCAAAGTGATGGTAAGTGATGTAACTGTTAGATATAAAAGATTTATTGAGTGATGGATTTTTTCTTGCCAAAGTTGAATGGTGATTCCTTTGAAGATAAGACTTATCGTCTGTCGTTTTTATTGTTGACGTTTATCGTTTCTGCTGACGCCGAGCATTTTATTAGACAGCGCAATACAGTCATTGCAACTTGCAAAACTTACGGCAATCTTACGGCAATCAAAAAACTTTTGGGACCTTACTGCTTTGGGTCAGGATCATTTCTTGCAGGACTCTATGCTGCAACTTCTTAGAGGTAAGTGTTCAATTGTCTTTACCATGAGACATTCCTCCCCACCAACAAATGTTCGATCATACAAATACGGTCGTACGAAAACCAGACCACGATATCAATAGTATCACAGAGAGTGGGCTCTTGCCCTAAAGTATGGAAGCGCTTCTTGTTATATGAATCAATTCTCATCAGAATTTTGTACACGAAACTGAATTTTGAAGTCTGTCGGGACGCAGCTATTACCGAAAGCTGCTCACGATGGAGGTTGGCTTAAGATAGCGAACTTCTGGCAAGTGATCTCCGACCGCCGGCAGGCCTTCCCTCTTCCCCCTTTCCCCTTCCTCCTCTGTATACAACTTGTATAATAATTATTAGAGTAAGACTTATGTAAACCCGCTATACATCAGGTGAAGGTGTCATGAACCTTTATTTTGACAAGTCATGTATCATACTTGCAGAAGTTGTAAACCACTCTCTTGGATTCCATGTGCCTACCTACATCAACGAGCAATTTACCTCTATCTCTTTATATCTCTTGCTCGACGCACTTTCAAAGAGATACTAGAAATTTTTATTTCAACATTTTATACTTCTTGCTGTCTGAGTAATAAGATTTGCCAAGCCAAGAAGTCGTGGATGTCTGAAGCGAAGGACAGGGAGAAATGGAAACTTCTGAGCGGCCTGCACGTCACGTGAAGGCCGGGCCATCTAAGTATCTAAGTACATTTTATACTCACTCACCTTGAATCTATTTAGTAACGATCCATCGTAAAAACACTTCGCTCTAATAATCCACTGAGTGTTCTTTCAAAAATTTTACCTCTAACTTCATTGAATGGTATCAGTGACTACCAAGAGTAAAAATATGAAACACTAAAAAATACTTAGCAGTTGACAACATCTGATATTCGTTTGCACTCTTCCCTGCCTCTGCTTTGTTCTGTTCATCAGTGTATTTGTTCAGTCATATAACCTCCTTAGACGCGTTGTTTAACTCTACAGGATTTTTCTCCATTGTATGGCAGCAGTAATCCATTCAGTGCGCATTTTATCTAAACTTTGGAGTCATGTATCATACTTGCAGGTTGTAAACCATTCTCTTGATTCCATGTCGTACTTATATTAACGGCCTCTAACCTCATCAAATCGTATTCTCCCGTATTAAGTAGTGCAGTAAAGCGCATATATACTAAAAACTCATATACTCCATTCTTCTCGTTGTTTCTACAAAAGGAACTGCAGGTTTCGACTACCAAGTTCCTTTTCTCTATCCATCAAGCATGTTTGTTGTATTTTGCTGTTGCTATCTAGAGGTGTATTTATAGGTGATAAAGTAGTGCATTAACGTGGAACATAATAGCGGAAGTCCTGAGTCTCTTTATGAGACTGGGATTTCAAGCCGCATTGTCAAACTGGGAACAATAATGTAACAAAAATATTTCAGTTGTAATAGAAAAATTACAGAAGGGCCTAATAGTTTCAATATAGTACGAGTACCCTATCCCCTTTTGGGACTAGGAGCTATACTGGCAGCGCATGATCATATCCTCAGGAGTGCCACTGATTGAAAAATACTTCTCAATTGCGGGACTATCCCTTGAATGAGGAGATCCATCGAAACTGTGGATTTGTTGGAGGAACTGCATCCTGAAATCGTGCAGAAAAGTCCACTTAGCAAAAGCTTTTCGCTTGACTTAAAGTAGTGTAATAATTTTCCAAAAATCTGCAAAGCGATAGATGCAGTATGCAGTCAAGAACTTTTAGAAAGCTCTTAACAAAGGTCTATAAACTAATGGCCATTTCTAATCTTTGTGCGGTTTTATCGGTTTTGATCCACGGATTAGAATTCACAGCATTACCAACGCATTTCTAATATGCATTGATAATCACAGAATTTCTTTTCCTCTAAAATCAAAATTTATGAAATTATTCAAAATTTCAATCCGAGAACTCAACTCGAGTCAACTATCTAAATATACAATATTCTATGAGGTATACAGTAACCAGTGCGTCATTTCCGCCGCAGGTGCTCATACTGTTGGAAATAGCTACTCATTCCGGAAACTTTTCCTTGTGGGGTCGATAATTTCAGGAGGATGAAACTTTGTTACAGAATGTTACAGAATGTTGCGAATCCGAACCTAGCTACTAATTTCTTTTAAGTGGCGCTAGCCTATACCTTCGAGCAAAAATCCCGTTTCTAAGGTAAAAGCTTGCCATACCTTGCCTCACTTTTCGGTGCGCAGGAAGATTTGTTGATCAGTTTTTGTGCTAAAGTTTATGACTTGCAGTTTCAATTGCCAAACATAGCCATGACATTTCAAGTTCTGAATAGCAACAGAATTTTGCGAATCATGTAATGCATGGGTCCATTCAGCACAAAATTTCCAAAATGTCCGCGTATAAGATTGGCACATCTTTGCCGAAACATCGGCCAATGAACTATCAATTTTCGTGTCAAGGCTCAGAACTGCAAGCTCGAGGTCAAAAACGTTCAGAAATTCATAAAGCCGTAACAGAAACGAAAAAAGGTCTCTTAGAACACCTTTGACATCTTTTCATTTGTAAAGGGGGAACATTCGGCGACGGCACATGCACCTCCCTGTCCTGCCCTGACCCCCACTCCCCCCCTTTCAGCATTGCATTGAAAAAGTGATCAAGAGATGGAGCGCGCAAAAGATCATACCTCATCGCTGAAATTTATGCAATGAGAATTTAAGATCTATAATTATAACCAAATGGCGTAGACGTGCTGTAACAAGAGATCGCATAATCGTAAATTGATCGTCGGCGATGGAGAATGTGTTTCGAAATTTTATTTTATTTGTGTTATTTTATTTTATGTATACACTCATGTGCACCATTAAAAAACCGAAATCGAAGAGAAAACCAGGAAACACAAGAAGGCAAAAGACCAGCCAATTCTCAGTACAGAAGGAAAAAGAGTTATATAAATGGTGGACAAAGCAAAACAAGTACCGAAGCCCTATAAAGACGATGTAGCCCAATTGCGGCATAGCAAAGGAAAAAGCGCTTTGTCCAGAATAGTCTCTAGAATCTTGCTTCTTCTAAAGTTAATGAAAACCCTGTTTTTGCGTGTCAGCGAGCTTCCCCGGGTAAAAGCAAGCTGACTTGACTCCGGCTGAATGGTTGCTTTAGAAGAGAGCAAGATTCGTTTGGAAGTTGTAGGGAAGAAAATCTACCAACTATGCGCGACTGGTATCCGACAAAGGTGGGGGTGGGACTGGGCTACGGTAAAGGAATATGATGTGAACTTAAGATTCTGATGAATGAGGCTGGTTGATATCATTAGTGAAAGCATTATGATTAGTAACAAAACGAACAACGCAAATAGCTGTCATTCTCTATCCTTGTTGTGGACTATCCAAGCGATGAGAACCAGCAAGCATAGCTTCAAATAATAGAAGGACGAGCTGATGCAGTACAAAAAAGCGAGCACCACATTTGAACAGACTCATCTAAAAATCGACAATATCAAGAAGATGAAGCACATTCACATCTAGCAATTTTTTACGAAAAATTTTTTGAGTTTTGCAGGATATGATACAGTGCTGGCCATAGCTATAAAGCCACCCTGAAAATCACTGTAATTCGCACTATTTTCTTCGAAATTGTCTGAAAAACCACTATTCTGTGTGCAAACTAACGTTGTATCATTGACCAGAATGGCTCCCAATTTCATTGGTTTTGGCCGGAGAAAAACTGAAAATTTGAAAATAGGGGTTCCCAAGGCTGGTCACAGCTATAAAGCCACCTCTCATTTCCAATCAGTACTACGATTTTTGAACCTGAAATTTTTTATACATATACAACATCAAAATATCAAACATTTATCACGCTTGGAAGCAGTCGCCTTTTCAAAAAGGAGATTCATCCTCATTTTTTGCTTAAAAATGTATAAAAAATTATAATGCTTGGAAAAACTGCCTTTTTACCGAATTTTCAAGCATTTGTTTGACTCGAATGAAGGTCCTAGGCTTCGCCGAGCCTTTGCAATGAGTATGGTGAAAAGTGCTGGACTCAACATTGCGTAATCGCTGATCTTGATGAACGAGCCTCATCTTACCGAGGTGTAAGCACGCTTCTGAGACGCAAAACTTGATTTCTGACGCGCGAAAATTTTCGGTTGAAAGTTGACACCTTGTTCGCATGGTGACGTACTCATGCAGAAGCTGTCAGGCTTTTTACAAAGACGTACTTGCAGCAATGAACTCAAAACGCTTTGTCTGCAGTTTGGTTGTGCGCAGTGTATCTCACATGACTTCAGATTTTACTGCTTTGAACTCTTCTTCAAGTCAATCTTACAAAACTGTCAGGAATACTAGAATTTTGAAGTTTTGAGCGGTTTTCCGCTCGATGGAGAGGTCGGAGTGCGTCATGATCAGGCAGAGTGCACCACTCATTTTTGGAAGAAAAGCGTTCAAGGCGGAACCAAAATCCTAAGAGTTGCGATGATGTTCAAGCTATGCGCACGAGTCTATCGTTGTACAGGCGACGTGTGAGCACGTGACAGAGCTTTTCGGGCATTAGAACTCAATTTCTGCGGTTCGAAAACTCATCTACCTGGAGGTGGCGTAGAGGCTCATTTATCGGTATCAGCGACTAAGCCATGTTGACTCCTGCGCTTTTCACCATATCCATTGCAAAGGCTCGGCGAAGCCTAGGACCTTCATTCGAGTCAAACAAATGCTTGAAAATTCGGTAAAAAGGCAGTTTTTCCAAGCATTATAACTTTTTATACATTTTGAACAAAAAATGCAGGATGAATCTCCTTTTTGAAAAGGCGACTGCTTCCAAGCGTGATAAATGTTTAATATTTTGATGTTGTATATGTACAAAAAATTTCAGGTTCAAAAAACGTAGTACTGATTGGAAATGAGAGGTGGCTTATAACTGTGACCAGCCTTGGGAACCCCTTTTTTCAAATTTTCAATTTTTCTCCGGCCAAAACCAATGAAATTGGGAGCCGTTCTGGTCAATGATACAACGTTAGTTTGCACACAGAGTAGTGGTTTTTTGGACAATTTGGAGCAAGAGAGAGCAAATTACAGTTATTTTTAGGGTGGCTTTATAGCTATGGCCAGCACTGTATGATTTGGTAATGCAGCAAACCATCCTGATGTTCGATAGATAAAGGAATTGGTAATCATCAAAAAGATGTTTCCTTCCTAAATTTCGATATTGCAAGCCAAAGCTACCTGTTCGGTCTCTGCACGGTCTAAGAATCCAGAATTTACTTGCTTTTAGGTTATTCTAAACTCAGAATCCGAAAGCATAGTACAAGTCCATTAACAACACGCCTATACTTCAGACTATGGAGGTGTAGAATATCGAGACGGGCACGATAGGAGAGTAAGGCATGAGGGTATTCTGAATTGGGAAAGCATCGATAAAAAAGAATCCTTTGTATAGTAAGTCTTTTAGATTTTTTCAACTTTATCAATGTTTCTTTTCAAAAATGGACTCCAAATGGGCGATGCATACTAAAGATGAGCCAGCACGTAACTTTTGTACAATCGCAAGAAAATTTCCGGGTCATTACTATGCATATTTCTAAAAATCGTAAAAAGCGTTGAAGACGGTTTTTTGATGACAGTTTTTACATGAGTATCAGAGTAAGAGAGTTATCTATCATAACCCCAAGATCGCGAACTGATTTAGAGATCTCGAGATTAACTATTGTAGTTTTAAGTACAACAGTGGGAATTCCCAAGGTGCATTACCGTAGTCTTGGAGGCAATTACAAAAATACCCCATTCTCTGAACCATATCTCCATTCTTTTTATGGATGAAGAGACCGCCGTCCGCCGTGAATGCTTCACTCTGTTGATTGAGGTCGTAGCAAAAATATTTTTTTGATGTCGTCTGCAAACATCTGAATTTTCAGATTTGGATGGGTTTTCAGATAGGCAATTCCGCGTCGTAAGTAAGGAAAAGCAACTGCGACAGAATACCACCCTGGGGTACGCCACTACTACAAAGATATCGATTTGAAAAGTCTTCTCCAACCAAACAGTCATCCCCTATCATGTAAGTAAGATGCTAACTAAGACAGGAGAGTCCCTCTTATGCATAGTTTTCCAGCTTGTATAGGTGTTTGCTAAAATTTACCTTATCAAAAGCTTTTGAGAAGTCAAAGTATATTTGTCTACCGATTATCCGTTATTTAAGGCAATTATCCAATCAAAAGTAGAATCGACAGTAGAGTTGTGGTGGAACAGCTCGGTAAAAACCCGTGTTGTTCAGGAGGAAGGATATTATTTTTATCAAACCAGTCATAAAGCTTCTCGTATTTGTTTTCAAGGATTTTCCCCGCAGGAGGCATTGTGCTTATGGGCCGATAGTTTGACAAGGTGTCCTGTTGCCCTTTTTTGGTATAGCAGTAGCAAAAGCTTCCTTCCAATTTTTGGCACCTTAATTGTAGAAACATCGAGATTATCACTGAAAGGGGGAAACGACAATGTTCGTGCACAGTTCCTATAAACAATCTGAGGAATTCGATCATATGTGGATGTTGCAACAGCTTTCATTCTTCTTAAAACTTCATATACAATATCAGGATTGACTTGTATCTCATCATATGCTGTAGCAACAAAGGTGAACTTTGGAGACAAACTCGATAGATCCTGGTTTTCAAAATTATCATTGTCAAATACCTTAGTAAGATATCTTCCCAGAGAACTAGCCTTGCTTTGTCGTTCCTGAAAATATCCCATATTCACCAATGTCGGTAGTTTGGTATTACCTTTGGTTCTGTATATGAGATATCGAAACAATCCCTTGTTGCCTCGGCAAACGAAGCTCATTACTTTTCAAAAACTTTTTGAGATGATATTCCAAATCTTTACAAACTTTTTGGTACAAATGATTCGTCAGAGGATCAGGGAGTATAGAGAAAAGACGTATTTTTTGCTCAATCAAGTTTTGGGATGTGTTGAGAGCATGCAATGCAGTTTTCTGAAGGTAAAAGGAACAAATTTAGCAAGTACACCGTAAATGACCAAACAAAAACGATAATATAGGTCATCGACAGATTCAAACCCACCTAATTCAAAATATCCATCCAGTTAAGAGCAGAAGTGCCTTGTTTATCTCTGTACCAGTGCGTCACCTCCGCTTCGCAGAGGCTCGCACTGGCCCTACTTTCTGTATGCCTTACTCATTCCGACACATTAATGACACTGAAACTCACCGCGCTATGCCGACTATCACGAATGATTTGTAAACAACTATTCATTTTAAAAGCTTTTCCATATGAGATCGGTATTTTCGCGTGAATGAAGCTTCTCCCAAAAGAACAAATGCTGATTTGAATCAGTTTCTGGAGCTTTCATGGCTTGGTATCCGCCATAAGGTACATTATCACCGTGGGCTACATCTCTGCGCAAAAATCTTTCCAAATGATTGGGTAAAATCTTGGCAAAGTGAACACTTACGCAAGAAATCCTTTTTGGCCCCGTTTTCGCAAAGAAATAAACTTTAGTTCAATTTTTTGAGCTAAAGTTCATCGTTTGCACCTTAGCTTGTCCAATATATCCGGACCTTGCAGAAAGTTGTGCTACGGACTCAATTCCACTGGCCAAAAGCCAAGTGGATCCGATTGACGCGCATTTTTTGAGGGATCTACACAACGGATCCGCTCGTGCTTTTGTACAGGGGACTCTCATTTCGATAGCATGCGCTATGCAAAATTTGGGCTCAGGAGGTTGGCTGTAACATGTTCTACGAATTTCGTAACGGACACACACACACACACACACACACACACACACACACACACACACACACACACACACACACACACACACACACACACACACACACACACACACACACACACACACACACACACACACACACACACACACACACACACACATACACACACACACACACACACACACACACACACATACACACACACACACACGAAGACGTAAACAACCCTTAGCCCGTTATTATAAGTCATGATAATCGGCTTTGTAGAAATTGGAATATGGCAGGAAGCATTTTTTCACAGATGAGAAGTTGGTATCAAGAGCTATTGCGTTGTGATCAGATGTACCGAACGGAAAACGTCACCCGACTTCGCCTTCGGCAACGTGACCACCTTGGCTGCTGAGTCTATTAGCAGATTTCTTTGCCCCTAGAGATTGAGACGCAGTCGCCTGAGAGCATGACCTAGTGCGGGCTGGCATTGTCAACCGATGACCTAGAAAGATATCAAAAATCGATAAAAAGTTGACACGATGACGACGAGAAGCGCACAGAAATGAAACCCCCCAAACAAAGTTTCAAAAATTTAGGGCTGTCGCGAATTTACGATAGAGAGGCAAGAAAAAGAAGAGTATCTCAATCGATGACCAGAAAGATATCAAAAATCAATGAGATGTTGATACGATGACAATCAGAAACACAGAGTGGAAACCCCCAAAAGAGTTTCAAAAACTGAGGGCTGAAGCTGATTTACTATAAAGAGCAAGAGAATAGAGAGTAGATAAGACTCATGATTGATAGGAGAAAAACACCACCATGGATAAAGAGAGATTCGAGATAGAGAGGCTAGGATAGAGAGCGGAAGAAAAAGCGACCGCTCGCTATGGCAGATTACTGTGGAAGTGACTCATCATCGTTATTGATTGTGAGAGTGGTTTAGTAGAGATCATCAGATGACAGCACCTTCAATCTGCATTTTCAGCTTTGATTTTACAGAGCCATGTATAGAATTCTCGGTACAACATTACCAACTTTCTCCGAATTCAAGCCGTTGAAACATGTACTTTCCAATTGATGCTTGAGGCAATTACATAGTCTCAGTATTCTTCAGAAAACCAATAAATGAGCAGGCTTTAGTCTCCTTTAGAGAGCTTCGTTTCCAAGATTTCCATGAAATTCGGTGAACATCTCAATTTCACAAGACTTTACTCTACAAAATGCATTTGTTCCCGGGGAGACCCAGCATGCAAGCTGTAGTTTCATTGTTATTGATGAGGCAGACTCTCTTTGTGGCTGAACACTTTTAAAGACAAAAAAGCTTTGTTTTCCTTTAGAACAGTAAAATTCTGTGAAAATCTCGATCTTGAAAGACCTCACGCACAGCAAATACAAAGTGGAATACAAACCAAAAGCTCTGTTGTTTATTCCTATGAATCTCGGTGAAAGTTGGTGCAAACTAAATCCTTTCCGCAGAAAATGCCTTTACTCTTGGAAAGAAGAGAGCTTCCGCAAGCTGTGGTCTCGGTAGAGCTAAGGTAGACCTTGTTTATGGTTGAATACCTTTGGAGCAAAAAGGAATTTTTCACACAATTTTTGTAGAATTCAGTGGAAAATTTCATCAAAAAATCTCGAAAAAAACACCGCGGAAAATGCATTTGCTCCTGGGAAGACCTAGCATGCAAGCTGATTCAGTCAGCTTTGTTAAGGAAGGGACTGTGTAATTTGTGATTGAGAACAAAAAAGCAAGCTTTACCAAATTATAGTATTTTGGCTGTGATATTTCGGAAGAAAAAAATCAGATAGCATGTTTTTGTGTCTACCTTCCCTGCTCAATTTTTCATTCAGCAAAGCGTACCTAACTAAGTACAGTCTGCTCCAATCGGGATCAGGCCGAAGCTTCGGCATAAATTTGCGCGCTCGCAGCGCTAGCGGTCTGTGCTGCATATGCGCGCTGTCGGAGAGAGCCAGAGGATTGAAGAGAGAGCAGAGAAACGGGCTATGGGCGTGACCGCGAGACCCTAGCGACGCGACTCCCGCCATGCCAATTTTGGCCTGGTTAGGATTGGGGCAGACTGTATAGGTTGCTGCTTGACGAAGGGCGCGAACGCGGCTTTATTAGCCGCAGAGCGCACAAGGTCCGGAATCTATAGGCTGCTGCATGACGAAAGCGCAATATCTTTAGGCGCGAACGCGAGTTTATTAGCCGCAGAGCATATGAGACGCAAGATTTACAACGGTAAAGATACGCGCGCGCCGCGTTCGCACCCGCTCAACTAATACCGCTTCTGCGCCTTCGTCTTGCAATAGCCTTTACAACGGTGAGGATACGCGCGCGTCGCATTCGTGCACGCTCAACTGCTACCGCCATTGCGCCTTCGTCATGCATCAGCCTTTATATACTAATGTATCTGCCTTTACCCACTTATACGGCCTGTAGGGTCGCTATTCTGGTATACGTACGAAACGCAATGCTGTATGGAAAAAAAATTTGTTTTTTCTTCAGCGCCAGTTCAACCTTGTAGGTGCACGACATCTTGGTCGCTTTGGAATTTGTGGGAAGTAAAAATTTTCGATTATCATGATGTGCATTAATTAACAAATAAACGTTCTAAACCTTGACCATACCTCAAGCGCCTTCATTTGTTAGGCAATCTGATCTTCCGGATTCCTTTGAGTCCTACAGTGGCCCACCACTGCTAGTTTGTACAACTTTGTAGACGGATAAAATGCCCTATCCTCTGCATATTTTATGTGCGAGCACGATGAGTTTTGAACGATTGGTGTTGCCAGATGGCGTCGCGACTGTAATCGCGCGAGGTATGGTCACCTACATTGTTGGCGAGCGGCACTGACGCTAACTGATGCTCCCAAGGAACAGAGCGCACATTCAGTGCGATTGATGATTTCCATTGCAAGTACCAATTTCCATAATTTGTCCTAGTGTCAAAAATTTCGTATCGTATCTCATCATTTACACTTCCACATTCTTAGTTGGTCTCACATTCGAGCAAAGTGGGATAAATCAGATTGAAAGAAGAAAAGCCAGAAATTTATTGGATGAATGTATGCATGTGTTGTTAAACTGCTTTGCATTACCGAATATTGGCAAGAATAAGATGTCACATGCTCTAAGAACAATTGCTACTGCAACCAACAAACACAAGAACGTTACACGAAGCTGCACTATAACAGAAGCAGAATTATCGCTTGACTCAAGGGGAGCGACATTTATCTGCATGGTGTACGTAGAAAATGGGTGTGTCGACCCGTTCTAAACCACCAAAATTAGGAAACTCGGGATTGGGTCCCGATTCTGTGTCTATCACATAGACGTATTGACCGGTTCCTTTGCATCTGTATTCTGCAACAGCGTTCGGTGCATCCACATTGTAATCGGCACAAACGGTTTGGAAGGAATTTGGGCGATAGTCTCTGACGGCTTGACGCATAATGAATGGATCCTCGAATGACTTGTCGTCTTGAATTCGAACAAATATTAAAGACGAAGAATACAGGTTAGGAAAGACGGGAGCCTGCGAAAGGCGACAATCCGCGCAAAGTGCAAGCAAGTAAAGCTGTCGCTGGCCTTTGCTAAATTTTACTCAGAGCCTCGTATCTGTTCCCTCCCCCCATCCTAGTTTTCGGCCGTATCACTTTAGTACCCATGAGTTTTTGAGAGGCACAAAATTCGGGATCGCTGCCTTCCGCACCACACCCGGAAAGGACCTCACCTGCTCTATAAAAATACAAATCTTTCAAAGTGCAACTGCAGTTTTTAGACACGAATCCAAAGCTAAATTTAGAAAATTTCTGAGTCAATTCTGCAAAATCTTTGCAAAACATACTAGCAGATGAGTAGTTGGTCTGGCGTTTCAAGCAAGTTCTTCTTCGTAAAAATCCTATTACCGTCATAGTTCTTGGGATAGTCGTTACACGGGTATTTGAGGGACTTTGGTACCGTTGTTGGCTGAGTAGTAGAGGTTTGCGGTCTTGATACAACTGCAATCGGGCAAGATGTTTCCTGCTCTTCAAATAAATATGAGAAAGCTTTGTTGACAAACGTCACATCTTGAATGTCATCACCGTCTTGAAAAACGTCGCATCTACCCTGTAAAGAAATCCTCGTAAACTTGTAAATATGGCATTGGCGAAATTTCTCAATTGTTCGCATCAACATATACCTTAGGAAAGTTTGCATGCTCAGTAGGGTAATTCTTTCCTTTTTAATTATTTGTTTGCTGTAAAAATCACTTGCCTCATTTGTTCTCAAAAATACCTCGTAATAAGTCAGAAAAGTGCATTCCGGATCAGCGGAGCATTTGCTCAAGCACTCTTGTTCAGTGGTGACATTGTAAACTCCTTTTAAAGATGCGTTAAAACTCTCTGTCACACTTCTAAATGTGCAGTTCAAGCTTCGTTGATCCGAATTGTGAATTCTATAATACAAATAAAAATAGCTGGAAAAGCTAACCACTGCGTAAAATACAGCAACAAGAAGCCACTTTGGGTTTGCCTCAAAGACGTTCATTTTGCCGCCGCCAGTTCTCAGCTAAGACACCTTCGATACTGAAACAGCGTTTTACATGTCGCTAGGTTCACGCCCCTAAGCCATCCACACAAAAACAAGGGAGGTGCTTCTTAGATTCAGCCAATAAGGGGAATGTAACAAAAATAACGAATGAAAATCTAACTCTTTTTTCAACTACTACGAATCTATATGTTAAAAATGCGAGGCTTCACCTGATGGAGTGAGTTATAATAAGAATGAACACGAAACTCTTTAGTACTCCTCAGTTGAGTAACTATTGCTAAGCAAAAAAATTATGACTCTTTTTTGCAGTAATTTTCACTAAACCTTGTATGAAGCGCTGCTTGCATGGTTAGTTCATATTTAAGAGCTACAAAAAATGTCGGGTCAATGTAACGTATGTATAAACCTGAGGAAAACGAGTTTTTTGTGTTTTCTAACTAGTATAGTTTTGTACATTTGGAAGGCTTAGGTCGCTTCGGGAATTGAGACGATCACACCTGCAAAGACTTCGTGATCGTAAGGTAAGTATACAGTACCGCTCATAATTCGTCAAAAAAGTCGTCGGACTGCGGTGAACTCCGCCGGAGTGCGCTGCAGTGCGCCGGAATGAGATGCAGTCCACTAGAGTGCGCCGCACTGCACTGCTGTCCGCCGGAGTGCGCTGCAGTGCGCCGGAGTGCGGCAGAGTGCGTCACACTCCACTGGAGTGCGCCGGACATCACTAGAGTCCGCCGGAATCCGCGTCGCATCGCCATATTCGCTTTAAAATGGACGAATTCTAAATCCGAGGACACCGTTCGATTCAGCTCGGCGAGGCGCATCATGTTGTATAATTGTACATAGGATTGCCACAATCTAGCGGGATAGGATAGGTAAACGCTAGACAGCAAGTTTTCGCTCAATTTTGCGGATTTTTGTTTGGTTGAATTGTTTAGTGTGCTGAAGACAGTATTGTCATTTTATGTGTCGATGATGACACATAGGAAGTATACTGTAGGAGTATGGTATAGAGTCACTATTATCGAATTCGCTCTGCACAATACCGCTCACAGAATGTGCAAAATTTTCCTAAACTTCGCGGAATTCCGGGATTTCTGCCGAAATCCGAGATATTCCGGGAAGTTCGCGACATTCCAGGATCCGCGGAATTATGGGAACCACGCACAATACGCAATGCCATAACACTCTTTATATTCCAAATCCGGAAGCAGCATTGTGTTCAGATCGTCAGGGCAAATCTTCTGATTTACAGCATGCCCTCGATATTCCGTTCCCAGTTTTCTCGAATTTTTCTGTAGAGGTTCTTCGCAAGGATGTAACGCAGCGTCTGTGCAACATAAAGGTTTTCAGTAAGCATTATTCGATAGTACTGTTCTTGTAGTACTGTGCGTTTAAAAGTGACTGCGGACTATCTTCCAAAAGAGATAGAAGCTTTGGTGAATTTTGGAAAAAACACGCGTTTTAAATTCTACTCGCCGTAACTTCCTTCGGAATGAATACATTCTGAATTCGAAGAAAGCTTTGTGCTCAGTTCATCAAGGCAAATCTTTCGATATACAGCTCCTTGATATTCCGATTTCAGTATTCTCATTTCTTTCTGTGGACGTCTTTTCGCAAAGTTGTAAAGCAGCGCGCGTTGCCCCTAGTAGACTCCAGGAAGGACCGTTCGATGGTACTTATTCTGTAGATTGTGGAGCACTAAAAAGTATTCACAGGCATTTTTCCAATGGAGAAAGAACGGCTGGTAAATTGTAAGAAAATCCTGTTGTCCCAAGTTTTACTCGTCGTACCCTAAAATACGAAGCTATCTTGCTAAGCAGATGTGAGTTTTGCAATCAGCAGGTCGGATAACCCCTATGAGCAGGTTTTCAGAAAACTTCGGCTTATTTGATTTTTTTCTCGTTTCAAGCTTTGAAGCTCGCCAGTGGGTTTTGGTCGAAATGTTGATGATCTTAATTTGGAAGGCTCTGCTCATAGAAGTCTTCGAACACGCTGTTTATGAAAATCGTGTTCTCTGTCAAGTATAGGGTCTTTTTGCAGAGATATGGTGAGGTGACTTAACGGAGTCACAAAAGCTCATAACTTCGCCGGCACATATCGCGTATCTGTCAAAAACCTGCCGACTGCTTATGATGATTAAGTTTACTAGGAAGTATGCATCGAATGGTGCATGTCTCAAGCTCCAGTATATAAAAATCGCCAAGTTACAAACCTACGAAAACACGCCCTCATGCATTTCGCCCAAAAACAGATCGCACTTCGTCGAAATTCCACCGCGACTGTTGTATGAAACACTGATCAAATCTGTTTACATCACTTAATGGATCTTCCTGTGTTGGATGTGATAATTGGGTGTAGGGCGTTAGGCGACAAACCCGATTTTTTGGACCCCAAATAGCTCCCCGTGCAAAACGTCTCCTCCGCCAAAAACAGGGGGGGGGGTGGAGTCGGGGCCGATACATTACTCGACGCCATCAAAAAAATTGCACCTAGTTTTGACTTATGGGCTTTACGTTGATTGCGTTTTGCACGTTTTGTCGCCTAACGCCTGCCCTCCTTGATAATTAAATAGATCTGAGCTCTAGCCACGAAGCTGATTCAACTAAGCAGCTGAAGCACACTCAATTACTATATTCAGTACAGTGGGATCCCTTGGACAAAGTGAACATAATACTTGCAACTAGACTTCATAACCAGTCACGGTGGAATTTCGACGAAGTATGCGATCTTTATATTTTGGACAAAATGCATGAGGACGTGTATTTGTAGGCACGTAACTCGGCGATTGTTACAGATTGGAGCCTGAGGCATGCATCTTTCTATAGCACAGTTCCTAGTAATTTTAACCTTTATAAGCAGTCGGCAGGTTTTCTGACAGATACGTGATATGTGCAAGCGAAGTTATGAGCTTTCGTGGTTCCGTTACAGTTACCTCACCATATCTCTGCAAAAAGACCCTATACTTGACAAAGAACACGATTTTCATAAACAGCGTGTTCGAAAACTTCTATGAGCGGAGCCTTCCAAACAAAGATCATCAACATTTCTACCAAATCCACTGGCGAGCTTCAGAGCTTGAAAAGAGAAAAAATCAAATAACCCGAGGTTCTCTGAAAACTTGCTCATAGGGGTTATCCAATCTGCTGATTAGAAAACTCATATCTGCTTAGCAAGATAGCTTCTTATTTCATGGTTAAGACGAGTAGAACTTGGGACAACACGATTTTCTTTTACAATTTACCAGCCATACTATCTCTATTGAAAAACGCGAATATTTTCTCGTGCTCCATAATCTACAGAATAAGTACTATCGAGAAGTGCTTACTGGAGTCCTTTAAGTTGCACAGACGCTGCGTTATATCCTTGCGAACGGACCTCCCCAGAAAAATTCGAGAAAACTGGGAACGGAATATCGAGGGCATGCTGTAATTCAGAAGATTTGCCTTGACGATCTGAACACAGTGCTGCTTCCGGATTTAGAATATATTTATTCCGAATAGTATTATGGCGTTGCGTATTCTGCGTGGTTCCTATAATTCCGCGGATCCTGGAATGTCGCGAACTTCCCGGAATATCTCGGATTTCGGCAGAAATCCCGGAAGTCCGCGAAGTTAAGGAAAATTTTGCACATTCTGTGAGCGGTATTGTAATCTTGAGCAGAATTTTAGAACAAATTCGATAATAGTGACTCTATACCATACTCCTACAGTACACTTTCTATGTGTCATCATCGACACATCAATGGCAATACTGTCTTCAGCACACTGAACAATCAACTAAACAAAAATCCGCAAAATTGAGCGAAAACTTGCTGTCTAGCGTTTACCTATCCTATCCCGCTAGATTTTTGCAATCCTATATACAATTATACAACATGATGCGCCTCGCCGAGCTGAATCGAACGGTGTCCTCGGATTTAAAATTCGTCCATTTTGAAGCGAATATGGGGATGCGACGCGGATTCTGACGGACTCTAGTGATGTGCGGCGCACTCTGCCGCACTCCGGCGCACTGCAGTGCAGTGCGGCGACTTTTTGACGAATTATGAGCGGTATTTTAGTTAGCGACGAATTATGAGCGGTATTCAGAAAACAAAGGCTTTATTGAGTATAGATTTTTCTCGCCAAAGTTACCCTTTGTTCGTCTGAATTGGTGGCTGGCACGCGGGGTTTCGTGACCTAGTTGAGGCTAAAGAATGATCAGAGAGCACGAGGATGAGAGAAACACCGACTGCGTTGCAAGCGCGAGCGGCATTAGTTAGGTCACAAAGCTCGCCTTCCAGCTGCCAATCCAATCAAATCATGGGTTAAATAGTAATCTCTAAGAATAAAGGCTTTCAAAAATTATTGATTTAGCTGATGCCGTGATTTCTATGAGAGCGCAGTTCATTTGTTGCAATTCACAAAACTTCGGCGATCTCTGGATTTGCAGTATAGACTGAGTTATTTTGATTAAAATCTGGATCTAAACACACCGATAAAGAGGTCCGAATAAAATTACAGTTATGAAAAGCGTGTGCATCGGGCATTTGTTTATCCTTGAGTCATTTGTAACTAATTGAGCGTATTGCACATAGGCACGCCATCTGACGAACTTGTAAGGTTAGAACCTGCTTATTTCCAGCGCTTCCTCTTTGATTACTTGTCTCTTTTAATTTGATTGATTCATTTAGCAGAACACATTTCTACAGTTTGTTACAGTCGAGTAGATCCGCTTAATATAGTGTGCTTGTACAATTTATGAAATGCGGTGAAATTTGCGCGTGAGGAAATAGCTTCCACTGTGAAGCTGGCCAATTGCGCGCGCAAAATTCTGGCAGTGCTGGCGCAGCTACTTGTTCACGCGTAAATTTTACCGCATTTCATAAACTGTGCAAGCACACTATATTAAGCGGAAAATCTACTCGACTGTAGCTAAAAAAGGTCCTACTGCAGAGTTACTACGTCGTTTACCGCGTGTAGTGTGCAGGCTCACAATTTAAGTTACAAATGACTAGACGATTGTCCGTATTTGTGCCTTACACTCGAGGTGCGTGAAAGGAAAAAAACTTGTTAGTTTCAATACACAGTAATGACTTTGAGGGCAAAGCTTTTGAATGAGTGTTGATTTACCATAGCAGTTGAACACATACCAACTACTCATGGTTATCTCTTTGTTGGGATTCCCTTTATGTCCGCACAATAATCTGCAAGGATCTCCAACCACATTCACCCATCTTCAGATTGGCTATTTCCTAAATTCCATTTTCAGCATTCAATTTTTAACTTTTTCAACATAGATAATATTTACAGCGTTTGTCTATCTTTATTCTTGGGGTGTAAGCATGGGTCTGAGAAACAGCGCACTTTCTGACCAACCTAATGTTACTCAAAAGAGATTTACAAGACAGACAACGTTACGAAAACCGGAAAAACCTCTTTTCAAAGTAACGCTATAAAGGTCTCCTCAAAAAATTTACGTCTATTTCAAAATTTATCAAACTGACAATCGTATGATTCCACCGAAAAATTTTGTCGTGTGGGCTATGTTTGAATCACCCCTTCCGTAAAGTACCTTAACGGCAAATGACATCTAAAGCTGTCGAACATCAAGCACAGGTACAACTTCACATTGCATTTCGTCATTGCTAAATGCTTTAGTTCACTTTGTTATTTGCAGCAAAACAATCAGTTTCACTGCTTATCCGTATGCAAATGCTTTACACATTAGAGGGTTTATGGTTTATGATTTAGCTTATCATTATGGCAAGGAATGCTATTTTGAACTAACAACTGTCACTTAGACTTGAATTCTGCAGCTTTGAAAAGATTATAGATTCTTTATCACTTCGCTTCTTAGTCTTTTTCACGAGGGAACTCAATCCTCTTTCGTTTTAGCGATTTAATCATCAGTAAAAGATAATTTATGTTAGTTGATGCCCTTATAAGGGAGAGTCGCAAAGTCGAAGTGATCAAACTACAATACCACCCGTAATTTGTGAAAAAAAAAATGGCGGCGGCACTTAACTCACGCGGCGCCGCCGCAGTTAGGTGACAAACGCCGCGTCGCGCGACAAAAGTCGGCGGAAAAGCGGCATTTGCCGCCTAACTTTGTCGCGCAACGCCTAACTTTTTTATAAAAAAGACCATATCTTGATTCAAAGTTTATGAATTCTATATATAAGAGTACCATTCAACTCAGCTCGGCGAGGCGCGTCTTCCAGTATACAGATGTGCCTAGTTGTGGGATATAAGTTTTTTTTTCTTGGAATTTAAGTGTAAATGGATCATTCAGCGCGCTGATTCCAGAGGCTACATACACATTCTGTTGCGCACTGCAGAAATAGAGCAGGTATAGTTTGAGAGCTCATTCTGCATGGATATGTGTGAAACTGGGTTTTTCTCGGCGTAGTATGACAGGTCCCAAAATGCAGGAAGACAAAGGCAAATGGTTGAAAATCGCATGAGAAGCAAATATCGTGGAATGCCGCGCGTGCTGTGCAATGTACAACACCACCCACAGAACGGGAATTTCGCGAAATTCCACAAATTTCGCGATTCCGGAATATCGCAAATTATGCCATAACTTCCTTCGGAATGAATATATTCTAAATCTGAAAGCAGCATTGTGTTCAGCTCGTCAAGGCGAATCTTTCCACATACGTCATGTCATCTATATCTTGTTTCCAGTTTCCTCAAATTTTTTGAGGAGGTCCCTTTGCAAGTATGTGCTGTGTTGGACTTTTATAAGCACTCACGGTGGAATTTCGACGAAATATGCGATCTTTACATTTTGGGCAAAATTCATGAGGACGTGTTTTCGTAGGCTCGTAACTCGACGATTTTCATAGACTGGAGCCTGAGTCATGCACCATTCGATGGCAGAGTCCCTACTAACTTTGACTTGGACAAGCAAGCGAGCAACTTTTTGACAGATACGCGAGAAGTGCGGGCAAAGTTACACACTTTCGTAGTATAGTTACAGTCACCTCCCCATATTTCTGCAAAAAGACCCTATATCCCTCGAAGGCCACGATTTTCGTAAAGAGCGCATCCGAAAATTTCTGTAAGCGAACTTTCCTTGCAATTCGAGATCATCGACATTTTGACCAAAATCCACCGGCGAGCTTGAGAGCGTAGAACGACAAAAAATGAAATACCCCGAAACATCTCGAAAAACTTGCTCATAAAGGTTATCCGAGCCGCTGATTACGAAAATCACATCTGCTTAGCCAGAGAGCTTCATACTTTAGAGTTATGGTGAGAAAAATTTGTCAAGACATGGTTTTTCCAAAATACACCAGCCCTTCCATTTCCTTTGGAATGAAGTGTACGGCTATTTCTTAGCGCCCCATAATCTACAGAAGAAGTACTATCGAAAATTTCTTTCTAAACCCACTGGGGGCAATACGTGCTGCTTCACACCTTTGCGAAGAGACGTCCGCAGAAAGTTTTAAGAATACTGAAGTCGAGATATCAAGGACATTGCATACCGAAAGATTTGCTTTGATGAGCTGAGTAGAATGCATTTTTCGGAATCAGAAAATATCCACTACAAAGAAAGTTACGGCGAGTAGAATCTGGAAACGAGTGATTTTTCCAGAATTTACCAACGCTTTTTTCTCTTTTGGAAAGAAGTCTGCGGCAGCTTTTTAGCGCACTATAATTTGCAAGAAGAGCACTATCGAATGGTACTTACTGGAAGCTTTTATGTTGGATAGGCGCTGCGTCACATACTTGCAAAGGGACCTTCTCAAAAAATTTGAGAAAACTGGAAACAAGATATAGATGACATGACGTATGTGGAAAGATTCGCCTTGACGAGCTGAACACAATGCTGCTTTCGGATTTAGAATATATTCATTCCGAAGGAAGTTATGGCGCTGCATAATTTGCGATATTCCGGAATCGCGAAAATGGGGAATTTCGCGAAATTTCCGTTCTGTGGGTGGTGTTGTACATTGCACAGCACGCGCGGCATTCCACGATATTTGCTTCTCATGCGATTTTCAACCATTTGCCTTTGTCTTCCTGCATTTTGGGACCCGTCATACTTCGCCGAGAAAAACCCAGTTTCACACATATCCATACAGAATGAGCTCTTAAACTATACCTGCCCTATTTCTGCAGTGCTCAACAGAATGTGTATGTAGCCTCTGGAATCAGCACACTGAATGATCCATTTACACTAAAATTCCAGGAAAAAAACTTTTATCCCACAACTAGGCACATCTGTATACTGGAAGATGCGCCTCGCCGGGCTGAGTTGAATGGCACTCTTATATATAGAATTCATAAACTTTGAATCAAGATATGGTCTTTTTTATAAAAAAGTTAGGCGTTGCGCGACAAAGTTAGGCGGCAAATGCCGCTTTTTCGCCGACTTTTGTCGCGCGACGCGGCGTTTGTCACCTAACTGCGGCGGCGCCGCGTGAGTTAAGTGCCGCCGCCATTTTTTTTCACAAATTACGGGTGGTATTGTAATATGGCCGCAGCAACCAGCATTTAACCTTGCTTTCTCAGCCCCAAAATCGATCTCTATACTCAGTATCTGAATCAAAGTTTGCATCAAATAAATAAGAGTGGATGAGCTCGCAAAAACTACCACGTGTCTTCAAGGATTCTTCGCTGTGATTCACATCTTTCACGTTTTTTTTGTATAAGCTGCAAAAGTGAGCGAATTTGGATTTTGTCATGGGGTCAAGAACGATATCAAACTACTGTCAATGAGTCATTAACTTGCATACTGAATAAGTGAAATTTGGAAGGGAGAAAGTTTTGCCAAGTCTTGAATGAATTTAAGTTGTAGGAAAATCTTACAGTAATCATTTCGAGAATAAAAGGGTAAGCTCGACTCGATTCCTCTATCTTCTTTACATCTTCAACTTGCTCACACTGCTAGTGCATTTGTCAAAGTCAAGTTCAGATTTTATCCTCCAACGCAGAGCAGAAGCCAAAGTTCTCAGCAAACATTATCGTACGATATCACTATCGTAACAATTTGATCTCTTTGCACTCGCGCTGATCCTCATTGTACTCTGAAGCGCATAGTCGCATAAAATTCCATATCATTAGATATGACGCAAGTTTTCTTGAATATAAGAGAGTGGCTGTGATTCATGGCTAAGGGGTCATGTTCAAGTCGACAGTGTTTTTGCTCACTTTGAAGCTTGTATTCGCTTGCAATCCTGGTGTAGGTAGGTCGCATAACGAGTTCTTAGAACAAACAAGGGAACCGTGTCGAGTCGAAGTGGCCTTTCCAGATGAGACCCATACTGCTTGAAGAGCATTAATCGCTGATTTCAAATCTGCTTTCCAAATCTGCCAAGCGCCTCTGGAAGTAGGCGTTGCGCGACAAAGTTAGGCGGCAAATGCCGCTTTTCCGCCGACTTTTGTCGCGCGACGCGGCGTTTGTCACCTAACTGCGGCGGTGCCGCGTAAGTTAAGTGCCACCGCCATTTTTTTCACAAATTACGGGTGGTATTGTACAACATGCATATCATCAAGGAGTTTAAAGCGATCTGTCTTCCTGCAAAATACTTCTGAAAAGGGAAGCTATGAACTTTTATTTGCGATTAAATTTGCAAGGCTGAAAGTAGCCAAAATGGTCAAAACCAGGCATTTTTTACTCAAACTTTTTGGAACAACTAATCTATGTTTGATGGTGACGCTGATCTCTCTAGAATGTTATCCTGCAGCGCAAGAAGCAAGAACGATTTCCATTATTTGTATTCACTCAAAACCGTGCATATTTCGATGATAAAAACGCCTATAACTTTCTTCCCAAAAGCGTTCTGCAGGTATGAAAAGCAGATACTAAACAGGTCTTCATCTCTTTGTAAACGTGTGCATTTTTTACTACTATTATGCGCATCCTCCATCCAGTGGCCTAGGGCCACTTCGACTCTGCAACCCTTCCTTGTATGCAATGCTGGATTGTTTCAAGGAGGATGCGCATAATCTTACAGACGGCTAATTGATAAATTTTTGCGGATTTGAATTTATGAGTCGAACATCTTCAGCTTATTAAGGATAAACAACCCCTAAAGGTACCGTCCACCCTAAGCTGGGAGTTTACAGCTTTTGGCAGCTTAGATAGTAGGACCCCCTATCAAACCTATGCCTAAGTCGTGGCGCAAAATGTCGCTTCGGAAGCGAGAAAATCGTTCGTAGCAGCAAAGATACATGAGGACCTCAAGCCTGCACCCCCACTCCCCTCAAGCAGTGCCCGCTCATTCGTGCGCGCCCATCCAATCAGCGTTCCAAAGAACCGGCTTGCGCGTTTTACGAAGAAGCAGCAGTTTCAAAAAAATTCAAAACAATTTGGAGAGTTGTTTACTAAGATTTTTACACATGCTAATTTTACCGATCAACTTTTTGCCATTTTCGAGGCTTCCTGGGTAACCAAATTCTTGAGGAATTAACTACTACGGTAGACTTGCCATAGTTTGTAAAAAATCATTAAGCTATAATGCAAGTTCCTTTTTCTAAATCAGCGATTCTAAACAGAATAAGGCCCTCTATAGACCAATACCCTCTTCACAATTCTATAGCAGTCAGTAATGAAGAGAGATGGTGATTGCCACCGTATTCTAGATCTAAAAAAGTTGAGGCCTTTTTCTAGGGAGTATAGTTTCCAAAAGGCCGCAAAACTCTTCATATAAAAGATTTATCCAAGATCGAAAGTTTGATACATCTTTTGGAACTATTTATACATCACACAAGCCGAAGCCGGGTGTGCCAGCTATCCACATAGAAGCCAGAGGTAAGCGGTCACCGAAAAAGACACCATTGGTGACTTTTCTCATGCCGCTCGCAGAAACTCAAAGAACTGAAGGCGCATTTTCCCGATGTCCTCGTTGATTTATTTTCGCTCTGATTTTTTGAGGCTAGATTGCTGCTTTATTGTCAATAAAGTATCAACAAACGGCCTGTAAAGCCCGTGTTGTTCAGTTCTCAGAAATTTTGAGGATGGAATGGAAGAAATCATTCATCAATTTTTCGATGCTCGCCTACCTTCGGCTATCTGAGTAATAAACATAGAACCACCAAAAAAAAAATTGTTTTTTGTTGGAACCATCCAACTTAATACTTATCATGAAGTGATTCCAAAATATGCTCGTTAAGTGTTTGTAAAGTGCCACTTTCCGTGATAGCTTCTTTCGTGCATCGTCTGTGACCGTTTTGAAACTAAAGCAAAAAGAGACATTCTAATATTTTCAGATTAAGGAAATTTTTTATTCGTGGCTGTGATGCGCTCGTTTCGGCAATTACAGCACTGTAAATGGGCGGAATCACGTAATGGCATTTTCGACTGAGTGCTTCATAAGAGCATTAGCGTACTCAAAAGATGAGACTGTACTGCAGTATTGAGACCTCATGGCGTGATTGCCTACCCTGCTTAACATTCATTATCGGCATTTGTGTCGATGTCTTTGACCTGACACCAAAATATGCTTACGATTCTGTTTCGGAACTACTACATTACTCAAACTTCGTAACTCATGCCGTTCTCATAATAGCATTGAAATTTTCAATTAACACCATTGTTTCTTAATGATACAAAGTTTTATTTTCTGATTGCAAGAGTCTTTATGGTATGTTGTGAAGCCTCACAGCCGTGCCTTATCATGGTCTGGACGCATTCCTAAAACTCGTAATTTTCACGAAAGTGATTTGAGGCTGAGTGGTCTTCTTTACTCTGAGTTGAAAACGAAAATAAAACAAACGAAATTTTGGCTTGTTCTCAATTCATAATTTGTAGGTTGTTTGTAATAGGGTTCCTGATGTGAGCGAAAAATTAGTAGTTCTTTGTATCGAGTTCAACAAAAAATATTAGGTTGATGCAAAAGAAATGACCGATTTTCCAAGCCTTTTTTCACGGCAACTTTTTTCCATCAATACTTCTTCTTTACAGCGGATGTAGTATATTGCCGCGAAGCTGTATTCATGCTCTATCTAACGATGCTTAAAACGGGCTCTCATCCTTATCTCTTATAAATTTACTGAGCTTCAAATAACTGCATCCAACTTCAGAATTTCGTTGCATTCACTTTTCCGGCCAGAATTCAAGCGCGTATTGATGGGATTTCTTCGAAAATTTAGATATTGTATGTATAGAAATTCTCTACATTATGCATACTTAACTGTATTTTTTGAAGTTATCCAGACTGAGATATCGGCGCCTAAACATGGGTAGCTATTGCGGTCATTTTATGACCCATAATTTTCTTCTGAGGAAGTCAATCGCCGAAGCTTTGCTCAATTCTGTAAGCGTAGAGCTAGGACATTTTTTAGCAGTTTTTGCAAAAACGTCCGGCTGTTCAGTATGTAAAAAATCAGAAAATTCTATATTCCGGACTTTCAGGCACACTAAAAAAAACTGAGAAAATTTAAGTTTCAATTTTTTCTTTCTCGCAAACTTTTTGTCCGAACTTTTTTTCTTGTATTTTGTACTACTGGCTTGCGGCTACAAGATAGGTCACTTATCATTCATACTAAGAAATTTTGAAGGAAGTTATGAATTGTCAAAGACAAGGTTCCCACAGAAGGACCTTTTTTGTCTTCTAGTCCGTATTTCTCTTCCCGTTTATGGTTTGAGTATAAATAAGTATGCGCTGTATTGCGAAAAGTTTGCTGCTTCTGTTTGTCTTTACCACATTCAGAAATGTGGATCTTTTAGAAAGTAATAGCACATAAAAGTGAGAATTCGCAAATCGGCCATTCCTTTTGCATCAACCTAATAGTTACTCTCCTTTGAAACAAAGTTAACAAGTTCGAACATGACCATCACACTTGGGTGGCCCAATATTGGGACCCTCAGAATTCGCTGAAACTTAGCAAACTACGGTAAGCAAACTGGGGGAGGGGGTATTGAGACAGAAGTTACAGGGAAGGCAGGGGGTTCGTACTCGGCGGTTGTGTGCCACACCTCTTGCTGGACTATGGTTACGATAGAAATTGCTATCAACCCTCGGTAGCTTGTTCATCAACGGCGCTATGCAAGTACGACCTGTCCTAACGCCAGTGCGGACAACTCTTGAAGCAGCTATAGGAAATGGTGTCATAGTTTATAACACATTCACGACGAGGCCGATTTTTCGATTACCGCCGAGCATTTTCCGCTTTGTTAAATTTACCCACCCGTAGATCGTATGTCTGAAATGGCAGACTTTTTGGAAAAAATTTACAACATGTCCCCGATCCCAGAGGGATTATCAAAGGCGTAGGTTATCAAAACATGATTTATTACAGCTTCGAGACTATACAGTAAGGTTACGGTAATCATCTCGCAGAAACCCAAAATCATGGATTTTCATGAAGAATTGTGTCTCGGGATTATTTCACATGCTCACCACGATTATAGGTCCAATTTGTTCACCACTTTCACACAGTGGAGCTACGGTAGCAGTAGGGTAGAATTTTCGTAGAAATAAGAAACTGATGTAAGAAGGCTGTATTAGAACTTGAGATTATCAAGGTATCATTTGAGATGATCATGTTCGTAAACAGCATGCTACAAAACCTAAACATATGTAAGATTTGAGCTTTCTGGGACGAACAATGCAGAATTCGATAAAATCAATAAAATCGAAAACTTCTTATGGATTAACGCCCTCCCCTTTCCCGTGCAAGTACACTTGAACTTTCAGAAACAGCGTCATTCTGCGATGGTTTTAATCCAAAGTCTGTGCCTTATCTTCAAGTACGGTATACCTACCGTACATTACACTACCGTATCCGGAGCCCCAACGACTTCTGCCGGAGCTTCATCTAGGTGTCCCCAATCATGTGCCAGAACCTTGTAGATCTGATTGGCAACTGGCAAAGCTAGAGCTTCAGGAAACTTACAACCCACCGGTGGGCCGCATTGTCCTAAGGCAGAGCACATACGTCCCACCGGTGCAGCTTTGCCTCTTTTTTGAAGGTAGCTGGGCAAATCCTTGCAAAAATTCAGTTTATTCAGGCACAACTGCCTTTCAAAAAGCATTTCGTGTAAAAAAAGATGTGCATCACATTGGATGATCAGAGTGTTAAAGACTTTCAGGAGTGTGAAGCATAGTTATCAGCAGAAGACTCCTTAATGCAGCAGAAGGTCAGTAGATAGGTTAGCTAGAAAGATAAACGAATCGAAACTACTACGATTTTCCTCCAATTATCTTAGATTATTTTGGCACTGCATTTTGAGTCTTGTTGTTTGAGCCTATGATAGCAGGAAGATTGTGGAAGCGTTTTGGATATCCGCGAGGGATCTGAAACGATATTACCCCCATTCCTATGTGATTTGATGGAAATGAACCAAAATGCATATATGAAAGAAGCACTGATTTCGCCAGAAAGTGGTCTCCCTGTCTATTCCTCATTCGACGTGAGTGCGAAATGATTGCTTTTTTGGCGCCTGAAAGCATGGTTTTATTTGTCTTCAGTAGTTCTGACAAAGACGAAACGTTTGTTACGAAAGACGTGATAAAAGCTCGGTTTTCGCTGAAGCAATAATACACAGATGCATTTGCTCCAACTCATAAGCTTGTTAGTAGTGACATGAAAGCCAAATGTATGCTACAACCGCATAAAATGATTAGCCAATTTTCATTTCATTTCTTCAAATAGTTTTTAAATACATCACTCTGATCAGCTCGCATGAGTGCCTACTTGCCTATTGCTCATGTATAGCAATAAATGAGGTAGGCACTCATGCAAACTGATCAAGCTGATCGGCGCTCCAAGCATCGGTCATGAAACGGTACACGATAGCAGAAGCGAGTATTAAGGATGCGTTCAATGGACATCCTGTTTATTATACTGGTAGCGCTGACGGAAGCCTTTGCATCTCCCGACAACGAGGATCGACTTTCCAGGTTTGTTTTACTTCATCAAAACTTATCCGGCAATGTGAAATTTACAGAAGCTCGATCCTACCTTCTAGTCTCTCTTCTCTTAACCGCTCTAACACAGGTAAGCAAGACACTGCTTTACAAACATGGACGAATGTCCAGTTGGATTCTTGAAACGCTGCAATAATGTGGGGACTGTTTGGCATGCAGCAGTTTCTGAAAGTCTATTATAAGTGCTCCTACGAATTTCTACTCGATGTCGTTTTTAGTAAAAATCGTGCGTCATGCAACGGTCACTCTCCTAGCTCAAGGATTTACAAGAATTCAAAAGTGAAACTACAAAACACAAGCAGAAACGAATGACATTACTTTCTCCAAGTTCTGTTCGAAAGCTCGACATGTACCTGTTTTTAATAACTCTACCTCGAATGATGATGAAACAGTGGCTAAATGAATTAGGACACCCCAAGAGTTTGGATGAGATAGACTTTCACATCAGTCGCAATCCATGTAAGCTCAAGCTAGTTCATGAATCTTGTGTAAGATCTTTGCCACAAAAAAAACCTGCTTTTTAACACACTTGTCACATCGGACCATTTGCCACATCGAATATTCGCATCTGCTCTTAGTGTTCTTATGGATAAACCAAAAAGAGACGCAAGAATCAGCGCTTCATCGTGTTCTCCAAACGTTTGTGACTTAACACGTTTCGGACCGCGAAATCGCGCGCGGCGAAAAAGAGTGTACTTTCAGCCGTTAGCCTACAAAGGGACCTTATTTCGCAGCCTGTGGGCCACATTTGTAATCAGCATGTCAGATAAGCTCCATATCCAAAGTTCTGAGTGAACTCGAAGTGTTTGAATTTTGTCGCTTGAGAGGGACTTTTGTGCTTTCTTGGAAGATAGGAACAAGAACTCAGATTCTAATAGTATTCAAAAGTATCTATGTTGTACACGGTACACATCATTTTTGAAACTAGGGTTTTTCTCTTCGAAATCAAAGCAAAGAAAAGTTGCGACGTCGCACGCGTCGTTCGCGTCGCCGCACTTCGTTGCAACTGTTCTTCGATTTGTGCTCATATCTCCTAAACAAATAGCGGCGGCACAACTCTACAGAGTCACTTGGAAAGTAGAAGCTTTAGCCTTTGACTTGATAACCTTGGGCTAAGAGAAAACCTCCTGTAAACGTCAAAAAGATCCTTCAAAGCAGGGTGCTGCACCATGTGCAGCACCGGTCCGAAACGTGTTAAGGGTTTCCAAGAAGTCTCTATACACTTTGCAATGTTGCTGTGCCATACGGCGTTGTTAAGTGCTTTAATTCATATCGGCTTAACTTTTCACTTCTCAAGGGCCCGAAATCAAAGCATCATCTCCAAAATCAAACCATCAGATATGTTTTCGAGACCAATACGGCACAGGCGAATTAAAAATCTTAACAAACTCCAGGTTCAAACCAAGTAGAACTTGGAAAATTATGTACGCACTGTTTGCCTTTCTCTTTCTCTCTTTTTTTTCTCTCTCTCTCTCTTTGTGGTCTTTAACAGATTTACAAGTATCATTTCGTGCTGGCCTCAGCCAATAAAGTTTAGTGCAAATTACTTAATCTTTGTGCTGTGAGATTATGGTAGGAAGAGAGCCAGTATAGATCAAGTTATGATACGGGGAAAAAATGGACAGCCTGTTAACTTTCACACTAGGCTTATCTGATCCACTTCAAATAGAAAATTTTCGGCAACTCAACACATACTATTGTACAGTTGCAGCTACTAGCTTGCTGCTTGAGTTCTTTTCGATTTTTGTGTTTGAAGCAGCTTCTCTGATAGATTCTCGCTTCTGATCCGATAGCTTTGCATCAATAGTTTCGTTTCCCTTGCTACTTCTGATGAATAAATTTCTTGTAAAGCGCTTAATCTGACGAGATTGCAAACCTAAGATTGCAGGTAGTTGAAATACGGTCTCAATTTAAAATCAAGAAGTTTATTTGAAACTTTCAAAATTTTTCTTTCAAATATGCTCTTGTGCATCTCCACAATGAACCCTCTAAATCAAGCTATTGTACTGATCATAGGTTAAGGGTGTAATGGATTAGCAATGCACAAACACATTTTAATGTGTCGTTTTGCTTACAAATTATGTTGCCAAAAACTAATGCTTTATGTAAATGTTTACAAGCAGCAACAGCAACACCCAATAAATAAAGACAATCGATGAGCAGAACACTGTAGATGATATGGTAAAGCAAGAGCTAGAAGGGGCCATCTACCGATTACTCTTGACCACTCGCGGCATTTGTAAAGATTTCATGATATGAACATGGGCATGTAAAGTGGAATAAGGCCAAAAACGGAATTCTTTTTTATTTGGTCATAAACTCTCAACTTGAAGACCCTATAGGCTTTTAATCATGAAACAATCTTCGAGATTTACTCTGTCTATAAATGGCTACTTTGTCTGTCTGTCACTTCTTATAAGGGAGAATTGATGTCAAAAAAGGCAGGCTTGAGAGAAACATTGTGCTTTTTGATTTCTTACTTCTTTCATATCGTTTGCAAACCTTAGAATTTCAATGTCAGCCAAGAAGTTGTGTGATATACTGAAACTAAATTTTTTTTCTCGAGAAGAAGTTGATTTTAAAAAAGTTATGATATTCTGAGTTTGAAAATTCACGGACGGAACTTATACAGCAGCCAGCCTAATATTACAAAAAAGGTTTTTAAAAGAGAGCATAGCTTGCTTTAAAATGTAGTAAAGTTGAACTCAAACTCTTCTCACTTTTGTCGATAAAGTTTCATTTGAGCACTGTTGTTTTTTTGGAGGAGGCCGAAAAAATTCGAATCACTTTTTAGACTTTCCAGAGAAGACAAAAAACAAAAGAACTTTACTTTTTCTTATCATCAAATGTGGTCACCCTTGCTGTATAGTTCAAAAATTCTGCAATCGTCTGCAATGTTCAAAGTTTTTGAAGGGCACAAAAGCGCCACAGCGAATAGCAAACTCGTTTCTACGCTAAAATTTTTGAGTTCGAAATTCTTCAAAAATCTCGTCTAAAAAGCCTTTTGCAAAGCAAAGAGGAATTGCCATCGTTACACATCTAGAAAAAAGGTTGCCGTCGCTCACTTATTCCAAAAAAATGGAAGGGAGTATCTCAGATTGTCGTTTATATAGAAAGCATGAGACTCTGGGACAAGCAAAGATCAGTGAAGAATGCGTACAAGAAACTAGAAGAGAGTTTCTTTTAATACAGTGTATTTTCCAGGAAAATTGATCCTTTGGAAACAACATTTGAAAGGAGGTGAAAAAACACGCATCAACTTAATAAACAACATTAACCTTACAACAACATTAACCTTACATCATTGAAAACTTACTACTTAGAATGTGTGCGCTCATCTTTCAAATTACTATTCAGATACTTACTAATTGGTGTCGGGCCCTGAACGAGACGCGGGTGCCGCACATGCAATACAAGGTTTTGCAAACATTCATTTTTTTAGTACAATATGGATATTGCGAAAGCGAATGGACCTACTTCAGTGAGACGGACGCTTGTTATAAGGTATTCTTGATCTCTATGATAAAAAAAAACAGGATGATATGCAAACGAACTCGTACCGTTTACAAAATATACCATCGCAAAGTTGTTTTCATGCTCTATCTAACGGTGCTTGAAACCTGCTCTCATCCTCATCTGTTATAAAGTTACTGAGCTTCAAATAACCGCATCCAAAATCAGTATTTCATTGCAATCATTTTTCCTGCCAGAATTCAAGCACGTACAGAGAATTTCTTCGAAAATTTAGCTGTTGTATGTAATAGAAATTGTCTACATTATGCATACTTAACTGTATTCTTTAAAGTTATCCAGGCTGAGATATCGGGGCTTGTACATCTGTAGCTGTTGCGGTCATTTTATGACCCATAATTTTCTTGTGAAAAAGTCAGTCAGAAGCTTTGTTCAATTCTGTAAGCGTAGGGCTAGGACATTTATTAGCAGTTTTTGCAAAAACATCCAGCTATTCACTACGTAGAAAATCAAAAAAATCTATATTCCGGACTTTAAGGCACACTGAAAAAATGTTGAAAAAACTGAGAAATTATGAATTTTAATTTTTTTCGTTCTCGCAAACTCCGAATTTTTTTTTATTGTATTTTGTACTACTGGCGCGCGGACACAAGATAGGCCATTTATCATTCTACTAAGAAACTTTGAAGGAAGTTAAGAATTGTCAAAAACAAGATTCTAGCAGAAGAACCTTTCTTGTCTTTTAGTCCGTATTTCTCTTCCCGTTTATGATTTAGTATAAATGAGTATGCGTTGTACTGCGGAAGGTTTGCTGCTTCTGGGAGTCTTTCCCGCATTCAGAAATGTGGATCTTTTAGAAAGTTATAGCACGTCAAAGTGAGAATTCGCAAATCGGCCATTGCTTTTGCATCAACCTAATACATTTCTCATAAATATATATTTCTCCTGCTCTCTCTGTGTAGCGATATTTACTTCACTAATACAGATTATACAAATAAGCGATCATTCGGCGATGTAATGAGAGAACTGAGAACTTCTCAGAACTTTATTTTCAATCATTTACTTTACAGAATTTCTTTTCGGCAACCTTTCACGAAGCTGAGAGCCTATGTAGAAACCTCAACGGACATTTGACTTCAATTCACAGCCGTAATGAAAATTCTTTCGTAGCCGGTAAATCAACTTATTTTCCAATGTAGGTTCCTATATTTTGTGATTTAGCGTTGTCAAAGATGGGTATGAGAATAAGTACCAATAAGCAGGGAATTTGGATAGGCCTGGTACGATCTGATTATTTGAACAGCAATCGGAAAGATAACTGGATGTGGACTGACGGCACGGAGGTTGACTTTTTCGCCTGGGGATCGGGTGCTCCAAATAACTACGGAGGCATAGAAAACTGCGTGTCGGTATGAATTTCATGTATACAAAAAGATTCAACGACTTGCTCAGATTATGGTTTTGAGATGATCAAAACCATAGATCGATGTGCTACGGTTTGCTTTAAATCAGAGTCTACGTAGACTGCAGCAGCACGATTATGAGAAAATCATGTGCAGTCTCTGCCGCTGCTTTAGTCTGAAACAATCCTTCGCAAGCAGAGAGTGATGCCCAGAAAAAAGTGATTGATTTTCTAGTCTAACGCTTCGTAATCTGCCTATCATTACAGAGCTGATTAAAGCCGTACTGCTTAGTTTCATAGAAGTCGATTAAAGCACTGAATTACGATTTCCCGTTAATTTTCCAAGATTCGTAATTTTTTTATGATATGCTTTTGCATGTTGATCGGCGTGCTGCAAAGCCGTTAATTTGAACAAGGTAGCTTTAGATACTTTTGCCACTTCGAATTACTTGAACCTCGACTAGCGATACTGTAATCAATTGATCTGTTTAATGAGAGCTTTTATCACAGATAGCAATGATAGATCGATCCTCCCTTTTTCATAGTTACTTGTACTGTCTGCACTGCACCAGCAAATTTGTGGACGTGCAGAGGTTCCAATTCTGAGTGCCCAAATAGGCGCGATTCGGGTCCTCGCGAGTCGCCCGGTTGGGCCACACGCGGTAACGCGGTTCGCCAACATGTAAAGCGTTTTCCACACGGTTTTCCCTCGCCTGAGGCTTGAGAAGCGCCTTATCATCAGGCGTCCATAGCTGAGGAGCTTGGGAAAATGCTCACACTACTAACTGTGCAGACGCTGTGTTTGGTGGTTGCTCAACTCTGATTCGAAGATTGCCGAGGCTCTGACGAAGGTGAAGGCACCGAAACGTTGACCTGACTGAATAAAGCGTATTAACAATCTTGGTTATTGGCTATAGAATACGAATACAAATAACTACCTCATGCCAAAATTCATCGATAATCGAGCTTGGACTTCGATCAATGCTCAGAGCGTTACAACTTTTCTTATTAGATCTCTATAGGTTCATTTTTCTTTCGTTCAAAAAGCGAATTATACACTATCTGGCAACCCTCAAGCAAAGATTGTTGATGATATTGCGGATTTCATGCTCTTGGTCCAAATAAAGTGTGCGTTTTGTGTTAGAAGCTATGTACAGGAAAGAATTCCTAGCATCCGGTCTCAGTCCACTGCTTGTTTATTGTAAAGAATAATTATCATTGTCGGATTGGAAAGTTCGGTACAGCTATCTTTTCATCATTTTCCGTCTCTTGATGAAATTGCACAATTTTTCGTTAAGGTGTGGAGAGTAGTAGTAAAGTACTGGTACGGTTTCTCGGGAGGATCACTGTCAGGAGATGGAAGACGAAAAAACTGGGGATGCGATTATTTTATATGAGTCACTATCTGGGAAGTTGAAATGTACGATGATCTGATGATATTTTCTGTAATGCTTTCTCGAGCTAATCGGACAATCCTCTATATAGGATTCAGAACTTTCGAAAGCAAAGGCCAAGCAAACTCTCGCATATTGTACTAGATTGTCAGGAAAACAATGACGCTTTTCATTTGCTCGGTACGGCACACACCAGGCAAACCTCAGAGATGCTGAGAGGTACAGTTCGATAGAGCAAAGCAAGCTTTACAAAATCAAAACTGAAGGTCTGCTCAAAGTTTCTTTCACATAAAGTTCGAAGCCAAAATGTAAAAGGGTTTGTATGCATAAATCGAGAAAAATCGTATCTAATGTATAAAAAAGTCCTACGAGCTTCTTACTCAGGCATACACTCTCCACATCTATCATCTATCTGCATGTTGCTTGTTTCCATCGCTGAAATTTGAACAACACAATGGCATAATAAGGTCAAAAGTACGAAAAACTCGTCTTTGTTGCGGTTTTTGCATAAAATTTGATTTTTCTCAAAATTATCGCCCGTGAAATTCTACAAAAACTACGGTTTTACTTTTATACTATAGAATTACCTATGTGAGAGCACCCCGCGCAGACTACATGAAAATCAATCTTTCCTTTTCTGGCTATGGAAAAAATAAGCAAGCATCCATATAAATACTGTACACGGCCGATTTTTTGGGCGATTGATCCAAGGCCGCACAAGTGTTGGCTTCGGCGATTTTTGAAAAGAAATTATTCATGACCTCTCTTATTATTCTGAAGTCTTTTTTGAAGAATTGCGAGATGTGATGGCAGCTCAAAAATAAACAGGACAAGAAAATACTCGTCTGTTTTTCTTGAATATAAGGCTCATCCATGTATAAATCGTAACTGTTAATGCAGCATAGAGCCCTTCAAGGTTTGACTGTACCTCACTGGTGTTATGATCGCAAAAGGTTTTTGCCACTTCTGTGTCACTTTCACTGCTGTTCATTGCTGTTTTCGTTGTTGCTCATTAAATGCTGGATGGTATACTTGGGGATCGAAGTTTTTTTTCTTTTCGAATATTCGACTATCGAATATCATTCTACTTTCAAATATCATTCGATTTTCGAGTATTATTCGAAAAATTGAATGTCTAGGTGATATGTTGACATGACCAAGCAAATAGTTTACAAGCATTACGGGTCTTTGTAGTTCCCTTTCACATGACTATTACTCTGCAATACATGAAGTACTCTTCATTTCTGGACAAGTATGCGCATGCAAAAACTCTGAGCGAGGTTTCACCCATCAATAATTTGAAAATCTACCTCTTCAATAACAGGTTTTTTCTGAGTCTTCAGAATACGTTTCTTCTGAGCAGCTGTATTTTTCACTGCTTTCTTGAGGACATCCGTAGCGTGATAATTTATGCTAAGGCCAGGCTCTTGGGAAAGTGACTAGAAAGTGAGAGAAGCGTAGAAGATAACACCCTGGGGTTCCTGGCTAACGAAAATTCGATAGCAGCTACATACTGCGACAGGGGAAATGGCGCGTCACGACTGCAGTACAGACTACCGCGTCGACAGGACACAAAACATATACACTCTCCCTTACGAATTGTAGCTTGATAGAAACTTCTACAATGACGTACTGTGCTTTTATGGAGTTCGACTATCCGATGATAGTCGATTATTCGAATACTCGATGCTCATCGATGCTTCGAATATTCGATGGTCATCGAATTCGAATTGATGACCATCAAATTTTCGAATATTGAATAATATTCGAAAATTGAAATTTTTAAATATCTGACTTTCGAATTTTATTCGAAATCTCAGATTTTTGAATATTCAATTTTTCGAATTATTCGCATTCGAATGATCTATTCGAATGATTGAATAGTTATTCGATTCGGTCCCAAGTATACTATGGGTGCCTTGAAACTTTCAAGAGCCAATTTAAAGAAAAGAATGGATTCAATGAAACATCAGCAATAGATATAGATTTGAATGATCTCCTTGACAGCTTTAACTCTATAAAGTTTGCTTGTGCAGTGTGCAATCATTGTTTACAGAATTGATGAATAAAAGATTGGATTCAAAAACAATGCACGATTACGAGTGGTTTAGCGGGAATATTTTGAAATAAATACAAGAATCTATTACGAAATTTCAATGATATCGCAAGCTTGCATTATGTAAGTGCCCACCCGCGGTGGACAAAACTGCGCCTTATGCTCTGGAAAAGGGAAGACTTTTGCTTCAACTTGGCCAAGGATGTATGGTAATCTTTATAAATATTATATCTATTAATACGAGGAGGTCTCGCGTCATCGCCTTCGTCAGAGCATGGAAATAAAAAATCTTGGTGAAATACCCCCCTCAGACGCCGCGTCTAACCACAGATCTGCTTAAGAGAAATGAGAAAATGCAGTATGAAAGAGAGACTAACAAGAGAGAATGCTTGTGACCGTGGTTATTTGGGATGTGATTTATACCACAAGGTGCATCTCAAAACGCTGATTCTAAATCTGTGCTACCTCTTGAAGCTATTAAGGAGAATCTTAAAAGGAATACTGTTGTATTTACACCCATCTAAATCAAATTTAATTTCGAAAAAGAAAGAAAATGCTATATTGATGATTTTGACCCTCCGCAGTAGCGCAATTCATTCTCGTAAAAATAATCATAACTCCAGGCTACATTTTCGTAGATATGGAAAACAGCATTCAGAACAGCAAGTCTTACTATAACTCTTTGTCATTCGTTCCAGAAACGAAGACTAATTTGACTCCAGTACATCTGTGCTAGCCTGACTCGAAACCGTTCTGCATACATTGTCCAAACAAGTCGAACATGTTCTTAACAATTTGTGCTTGTGGTCTATCTCATCTAGCATTTCACCACTTGGAACCTGGAAGGAAGAAGATCAATCGTGACAGAATTAAATTGGACAATTTGCGCAGAGCAACTTCGAATCTGTTACAATCAGTTCACAGAAAAGATGATACGCAGTTACCTGTCTGGCCTTATAGGCACTAATAAGACGTCAAGTAAGACGTCAAAGCGCCTTGCATAAAACCACAAAGCTTTCAAGAAAACAAATCAAATCATTGCCTTTTTCCACTTTTGTTCTCGAATGCATTTTTTAGAGCCGAGACAAACCCATAAGAGAAGAAGATAAAAGATAATAATTTGTAGAGCAACTGCCTCCAAAAATCTGGCCTTTCTGCAGAAAAGCAGTGTTAACCACCTCGGCAATTCTGAATATCGCTGTTCTGTCCCAAAAGTAAACTCCATTCTTAAATACTCTGTGTTTTTGCTCTCCTGATAGACTTTAGGTACCAGTCGAAAGCGAGAGAGGAAGCGGAACAAGTATAATATGACCGTCAAAGATCCACCTAAGTCGTATTACTGTTTAAATATAGAAAAATCAACATTTAACTACGTAAAAATTCAATATCCTTCCAGAATATTCCTACGGATTTCCAACTGGTGCATTATGTAGTAGACATCAGTGGCTGTCCTCAGAATTTTCGTCCACGGAGGGGAGGGCGCTGCAAATTTTTTTTTAAATTAAGGGAGTATGGCGTCAGCCACGCACCTTGAAAAAATTCTTGGGGTACCTCTGAAGATTTTTGCGGGCCCATAACCCCCAAAATCTAAAAATAGGGGGTTGCCAAGTCTCGAAACAAAATTCTTGCAAGGCTGATTTGAATTTTCATACAATTTTAGAAATTATTTACCATTTACAAAAATAAACGAGTCACTTGCACCTTTACTGCTATAATGCCATTTTTGTCGGATTCTTTATGTAAACTCGGTGTTTCTTTATTATAAAGGGACATACAGAATAAAGTTTTGAGTTCATACTTATTATGGTTCAATACCATGACATATGTGGGAGAAAATGGGGCGGGGTAAACAGTTTTGAACTATCTTTTCTTCTCGCTTTTGATGCGTGAAAAAAAAACCAGTAAAAGCAAATCTGTGTACTGCTATACGTCTACTATATGATGACCATGGAGGTTTGTATGATTTTTTTTTGCAAAATCATTTTTCGGGCGGTAATATTAAACTTTGCACTGATTGCGACTGCGGATCTTGGTGGTCATTTTGTAGAGTTCTGCTCATCAAATGATACCCTCAGTCTGCTAGGAACACAAAAACAGCTTGATTCTTTCAAAAAAGGAGTATTTTGGGACAACTTAGTACTTTCCAAGTTTTTATTGGAGGAGGCGAATTTCGCCATTTTGGGTCGCCCCCGAACAACTGGTTTTTTGGCGACGTGGCATGTCGTTTCAAACTAGCAGTTCCTTAAGGCCCTGGGCAGAGCTCACGCGACGAAGTCGCGCGATCTCCAGTCGCGACGACATGCACGAAAGTGGCGACTGGGACGCGACGACTGAGTCGCTCAGTCGCCGGAGGCGTGCATACCTCCGACCCGATTTCATGCAATTGCACAACACTTCACGCATTGCACGTACTCTAATACATTACTGAAAATCAGTGCTCTCGTTGATTTTACTACATCTGTCATTCAAAAAAAGGTGTAACAGCAGAAGAAGAAAGTTTGAAAGTTTATCACATAGCATCCGACTTGACAATAATCACAACGTCGTGCACCCAAATGATCAGAATACAAGGAGAAGTCAACGACATCGTGGTTTTGGAAGAAATGGCTCATAATCAAATGACTGTTGGGAAGCATCAATTAGGAATAGGAAACAAGTAGCAAGGCCACCAGTGGCTGCGGACATTCCGAAAGAATCTTCACGAGGCAAAACGATGTTTTCAGCTCTAGAAACGTCACCCATGTGCTGCACATGATAGACAAAAATACTGCTATTACCTCATGCAAAGCTCATATCTCGGAGTTTGCTGCATAGCATCGTCAACGTAGACTGTGAGCACATCGTATTCGATGCGCAATCGAACAGGGTAGGGCTTGTAAATCTTTTTGGCAACCTACGATATATGAGATGTAGGCAATTGTAGATGAAAGACAAAATGCAAAATGAGGACTGACTCCTTCCAAACAATGCAAAGATAGGCATAAATTGACATTTGCAACATTTCATGCAAAAACACTCATAATGAAAAGACAAACCAGCAACATACAACAATAACATCGAAAATCCACTTCAGGATCGGCGCGACGGTCGCCCCGTCGCTCGCCGCAAACGAGCGACGCGACATCGCGCCGATTCGGCAAAATCGCGACGATATCGCCAGGTGGGCTATGAACGCCGAAAAGTGTGGCGCGATCCGTCGCGCCGCGCAGCCGTCACAAACGCCTCGGGACCCACACACTAGACAGCGTGGCGTGGAACACTTGTACAAAATGATCGGGCGCGACGCGACGAAATCGCATGAGCTCTGCCCAGGGCCTAAGACGGATAAGATGGCAAAGCTCTTTCCTCCACCCGTTCTCTTATATTTCTATTTCAGATGATGCCTGATGCTTTCGAAGAGAAATATCATCTAGATTCGTGGTACCAGAGATGGGACGACCAATCCTGTGCCGTTAATTTGAGATCGTTTGTATGCAAGAAGATGGCTTTGCACTGTACATAACAACAGAAGTGCATTTGATTTTGTAAACGGCAGCCTTCACAACATCTCTTAAACCCTCAGCTTCTGAAACAATAAAATATTCACTGTGAACAAAGAGGGACATAATTACAGAGAATATTGTCCAAAACCGAGTGTTAAATCATCCAAAAGATTCTCGAAAGTTTTCAACTTTAGGTTTTTCTAAAAATACGATTTCGTTTATGATGAGAAGAAAAAGACCAGGTTTTTATAGAAGCACCTCAAAGGGAATGTTCAGGCAAATCTGGGACATGTGTTTCTCGCGTGGACACTGGTGAAGGGATTCTAACTAAGGCACCCGCCATACTTGATCCTCTTGATCAGCTTGATCCGCTTGATCCACTTGATCCGCTTCGTGCAAAACGCGCGTCATTAACAAATTGACGACCATGCAGAATTTTAGTTATCTGCCGTCTGGGACTAGGGCTTTTTACGGACCAGCCCACAGTTCTCAACTATAATTACGCATAATGCCATTTACAATACACCTACAGTAGATCTGAGAGGCTGATTAAAAAATGTAGAGGTCATACCTAGATTCAGTGCAAAAGAGCTCATGGAATGAGTTTATCCCAAGATAGTAGTTATTTTGACAGAATTCAAACCTTACACACATGGTGTGTCAAGCGGTCCCACGTGGCAATCATTGCTTGACACACCATGTGTGTCAAGCTGTCGTCAATGTGTTAATTTGTCATTTGGCGGCGCGTACAGCGTATTTGCGTAACCATACAAAATTCCTTTTTACCTACGTGGCGCCAAATGACCGACTGCTGTGTACGCGCGTTTTGCACAAAGCAGATGAAGCGGATCAAGAGGATCAAGTATGGCAGGTGCCTAAAGCACTGCCCAAGTACCAGCGCAAATAATTTATTCACGGCTGAAAAATCCGTCCTCAAACCCCCCGCACCTGCGCCATGCGTAGCCCGCAAATGACTTCGCTCACTTTAACACTGTGTTCGCACTAAAACCCGCCCTAGGTCACTCTCGAGTTACGGTCATGGCGCAGGCGCGGAGTGTTTGGGCATGGATTCCTCGGCCGCAAATGAGACATTTGCGCTGCCGCTTGCGCACTGTCTTAGCTAGGGCTCCCCTCCCCCATCAGTTCCCATATAAAAAACCCATCCCAGAGTCATAAGGCTGGCCAGATTACCATGCTATTGTAATTCGTTAACACAGTTTTTTGGTTCGCATGAGCACAGCCTCAAGTGTGAAACATGTATGGAAGATTGATTATCGATAGACGCCTAACGTTAATCCGTGCTGCCTCAAAGGCAGCATCTGTCGAATTGCGCTTAAAAGTTACCTGGGCTTATCTTTCCCGCTGTTTTCGAAAATACAGCTGGAGAGTAGGAAAATGCTAACTCGGACTATTCTAAAACCACTTTGATTTTGAATCTAGACATTTGCCACCAATAGAACGCAGAGTTGTGAGACTTGACTGTGTGCGATATGGCAATCCTAGCACTTTGAAATCAACGGAAGGGTGGACACGACGGCTCCGCTCACAAGGGGTCCACCTCATAGCTTTTAAAGTGGTCTTTTCGCTTTAGAATAAGTTTATACAGTGCCATTTGGGCAACAGCTATACAGGAGGGCGCTCTTGCACTCTACATTTCCTCATTATCGTCACAACTGCCCGGACCCTGCCTCAAAGACGGTGGATCGGCAACGCTGAACATGCCGAATTTCGATATGGCAGGTTGTTACCGCCGAAGTATGAAAACAGGGCAAACCAGGTTGCATAGTATGCCACCCTTGCCGAGAAACTTGCCATCAAATGTTTTGCTCGCTCGGAAGAGCCGCAATTTTTTTCCTACTCTTACATGGAAAGGATACTCGCTCACCGTGGCCATTTGAGGTGCGATGTACCGTAAAAAGCATCTTGAAAAGCTGATTCTAAATCTGCGATCGACATCTGCGAAACGGTTTTCTGAAGGAAGTTATGATCTTAATTCGCAAACTTTTGGATATTTAAAATGACCGCATTTGATCTAGTTTACCGTTTTCTATTAAAGAAAATCTTAGGCAGAATAATATTGTACTTATAGCTGTCTAAATTATGTCCAGCAGATAAAAAGTGGAAAATTTTTGCATTGAAGATTCTAACCCTCTCTAGCGCAATTCATCGTTAAAGGCACCGTCCACCCAAATTAGGTTTGGTGAGATTATGATACCTAGCAGATGCGGGGCCCCCAATTGTATGATTGCCCAATGGCACTGCCTGAAGTTGCTTCCAAACTGGAAAAATTGCTTGCGCATTTTTTGGTGTACAACTCATTATGAATAGCCACGATCACCATCTTCCCTTATTGAAGGGCGTGCTCGCAGTGCTGTAGCCATGAGGGTCCCGCAGTGACTCTACGTCTCTAACCTTGGCGGGAACCGTTTCATTGCGAACTCAGCTTGACTTCAATTCAACTCAAGCAATAAATTCTTCGTAAAGATCACTAGATAATGAAGAACGAAACTGCACTTCTATGTTGATATGTTGCGAAATAAGGCGTGCGATTGCACTATGTGTGAAAGTAACGATTTGTCAACACGGCTAGAGTGTTTAGAGAAGTTTAACCTCATTTTCCTCAGGGAGTATGTTAAAAGGAGGTGGGGCTATTAGGTACAAAAAAGCTACTGTTGTCAACAGCCCCTCCCCCCTTTCACGTTTGTACTTACTGATTTGACTGATTTTGTAACTTGTGGTCTCGTAGATTTAGTAAGCGTAGCGGCGGTGGAGGCGTGCTTCTAGCTGGCAAGAACAGAACACCGATCAGTACTAAGTAGTTTATCATTAAGGCATCAATGTAGACAGAGGACAATATATGAATAGTCGGCAATAGGAGATCATCGGTGGAGTAGTTGAGCATGGAGATCGGATAAGGCACTGGATCGGGACAGCATCAGCCAGAGTCGTGGAGGGGTACGGTAGGACGGCCGGTCGGTGTCGGGGCGAAGGAGCGACTCCTCGAGGCTTCGTATCGTCGGTCACGCCCTAAACATATGAATCATGTCTTCTGGAATTCCATCGGAGATGCAAACGGAGATGCAAAAGCATCTCCCTTACACCTCCCTTATTTACCAACAAGTCCGTCCTCGGACTTCTAATTAAGAAAAAGTATGTAAAGCAAAGTGTATAAAAGGAATTATATAAGGAAGTGTATAAGTAAAGGTGTAGTATGTCATAAAATATAAACGAATAGTATCTATGGACATAAAGAAAACAACAAAATATATAATGAAGGTATATATATATGTATATAAAGAGAACTAGTTATGAAAGTCCCACCGTTGTCCAGGAGGAAGATACTGGTCCAGTTGAGCAGTAGTCGGAGCAGCCTAACTCGACGGCTTTTTGCTGATCTTCAGACAGTACAATGCGAGCATCCTTGATCATGATGGATCGGGCGTCTTGCGGCAATGCTGGTACGCGGTTCTCTGCGGTCGGGGAACAGGTAGCTGGAGTGCCGGAATACATCCTATTGACTGCACGAAAAGCGAAGGAGCCCTGTCTGATGCGGCTGAAAACGTCCATCCGGGACACAAGCTCGTACGCCGGTTCTGCGGAGACTCCAACTTCTACAGCGGCAGTCAGGTGATAGCGTGTACCGACTCTTCGTCCACGGCGTGTCGTGGCATTGACTAACATCTGGTGAGCCCATGTGGGGGCAATGATGGCGACTGACATCCCGACTCACGGGGTTAATACTGACTTGGTGGACCGTAAAGCGGCACGTACGGGGATAATCCAGAAGTCAACAGGACGCCCCTTCTCCCATCCGTTCTCAGCAGCCATTCCAGGGATCACGAAGGAAATCTGCAACGGGAATACTCGGGTCGAACGGATCACCGCTTCTATCCAGTGGGCACGACGATCGTCCCTCTCCGACTTGTAGGCTGCTAGAGCTGAGCAGGCTGAGCTAAAAAGCTGGCCCATCTGCGCGAAAGCAAGTCGTGGATTGTTAAGAAAGTAGTCGAAACTCTTGCCGTAATCTCGGAGCCACATCTTCTCGAAGCCACCCAGCTTGCTGACCGACAACGGTAGAATGCTCTCTCGGAGATGACATGGAACGGTGTCGCGGACGAGTTTGCGTAGCGTCTTCCTGGCGTCGATGCTGCCGGTTCGGAGAAACGGATTGCAGTGGACAGATTGTACCGCGATCGCGCGGAGAGCATCTCGTCATCTACCACTTGAGTGATGTCGAAAGAACAAATCGCGGGGGTTATCATCACGGAATCGGGTGCTCCTGCGAAAGCTGCGGAAAAGCGGCTAGGTAGGTTGTTCTTGAAGAAGATACGAATGACGTGCCCCATGACAGAGTGCGCTTCCTGAGGGGTAACGAATGCGAACTCGGCGACTCGGAAGAAGAAGATGGCCTCATCATCGAGTGTGAAGGAGCGCGAGGCGCTTGCGCTTTTCAGAGCCTTCTCCGGATCACGTAGAGCTTGGTTAGACGGTTCGACGGAGTACACCCAAACAAGGTCCTTGACGGAAACGAGGGTTTTGTAGAATCCACGTTTGTCGGATTGGATATTGGTAGCGAATTGGTCAAGGACGATGCACTGAAGCTCTGGCCGGTCGGGTCCAGGTACGAAGAAATCCTTTGACTCCAAGATGACGCCACGGCCACGGTTGACGGCGACCACTTGGTATAGGACGGGCCTGCGGCCACATACTATCGGAGGAAGGAGCAAAGTAGGTTTCTCGCCAGCTGGGTGCAAAATGCGAAAATACGATTCGGAGCGCAAAGTCTCTAAGAAACAAGCTTGGCTCACAAAGACACAAAGAGCTGATTCAAATGAGCGCAAGCGCAAGTTAAATGAAGTTTTGCATGGCGCAACAAGAAAGTGCTTGAAAGCTTAGTGCGAGCATGGAAAACAGTCTCAGAAACAAAGAAGTTCAAATTATCGGCGCTTAAAAACAGCGAGAGATAGAGAGCGAGAAAGAGCAGACTGCGAGAGAAATACAGTAAGATTAGCTAAGGAGAATAGTTATACGAGTGAAATATCCAACTGTAAATAGTATACAAAACCACAAAATGAATTTGGAATTATGTTAAAAGAAAAGATCTCCAA